GTGGGGTTGGTGAAGGTCTTTTCCCATTTTGTAGGCTCTCATTTTATCTTATTGACTGTGTCATTTGCCCTACAAAAGCTTCTCAGTTTCAAGAGTCCCATTGATTGATTGTTTCTCTCAGTGTCTGTGCTACTGGTGTTATATTTAGGAAATGATCTCCTATGCCAATGCATTCAAGACTACTTCCTACTTTCTCTTCTATCAGGTTCAGAGTGGAGACCTGAAAGACATGATTTCAAGTGGAATTAGGCCCAAAGTACAGGGGGAATTGTGTATCCAGTAAAGAGCAAAGGGAGAAATCCAGTCACTGCCGGTGCAAGGGTTAATTTAGTTAAGGTCTCCTTAAGGATCTGGTTCATCCTTTCTATCTGGCCTTTCTACTTTGGTGACAGTACTTTCTACTTTGGGCTCTTGCTGCTATTATGCAGAGGCAAGGGGAGCATCCAATGGCCACTGGGTCTGGGCTTCTTGACAAGTAGGACACCAGCCTTTTCCATGACTAAGGGCTTGCATCAGTTACCCCCTTGGAAACTCCCTTTTTCTCATCCACATATAGGTGGAAGGATTTGGTAACATCTGGTAATGTTAAAGGGTAATTCATTTAGTAAAGCTGCCTTGATTTCATCAAAGGCTTTTTCCATCTGTGGAGTCCAATCAAGAGGAACCTTTCCTCCCCTCATGGCCCCATAAAGGGGCCATGTCAACTCAGCAAGTCCTTGGATCCAGAGTCTACAGAACCCAGCAGACCCCAGGAATTCTCTCATCTCTCAATGGTTGATGGGCCTGGGGATCCTCAGGATGATGTCTTTTCTTGCTGTTGACAGCCATCTCTTCTGCCTCTTGAGTGTGTATCCCAGATAAGTTACCTCAGTGTTGCAGAGTTGAGCTTTCTTTGCTGACACACAATACCCCAGGTCTCCCAAAGTTTTGAGCAGCTCCTCGGTGGCAGTGTTGCAGGTTTCCAAGGTGTCAGCCACTATTAGGAGATCATCCACATACTGTAATAGGCTGATGCCAGGGTGAGTGTGTCAGTCCTCACCCATGTCCTCATGAAGGGCTTCATCAAAGATGGTGGGAGAATTTTGAACCCCTGGGTAGTTTTGTCCGAGTCAGCTGTCCGTTGAATCCACCTTCTGGGTCCATCCATTCAAAGGCAAACAAGGGTTGACTGGCTGGGGCCGGTGGCAGGCTGAAGAAGGCATTGTTGAGATCTAACACAGTTCTTTCTGGGGCAAGGTACTAAGAAGTATGTAAAGATTAGGCACTGTGGGGTAATTGTCTTCAACCCATTTGTTAGCTTTTCTGAGGTCTTGTACTGGTCAGTAGTCATTAGACCTGGGCTTTTTAACAGGCCTGGGCATGTTCCAGGCCTACTGGCAAGGATATCCAGGTCTCTGATGTGAGGGGAAACCCCATTTTGGTCTCTCTAGGCATTGGATATTGTTGGATGTGGGTCAATCTAACAGGTCAATGAGCCTTGCAGGCTTCTCAGAAAACTTAGGGTTCTGCATCTTCCAATTATATAGCTTGCTAGTGGGAAAAGGCCAATGGACCAGCTGCTGCCTGCCATTGGCATCTGGTAGTTGCACAACATGTAGTGGGAGAGCCATGGAGACAGCTTCTGCCCGTGTTTCCTCCCTCTAAGCCCTAGCAGGCCTATGTGGAGGGCTCCTTAAAACCTCCTCCTTCAAAGATCTTCACCAACCCCACATCTGACAGAGGATTGATCTCCACAGCATATAAAGAACTCAAGAAACTAGATATCAAAATACTGAACAGTCCAATTAAAAAATGGGCTAAAGAGCTCAACAGAGAATTCACAAAACAAGAATCACAAATGGCTGAAAGACATTTAAAGAAATGCTCAACATCCTTAATCATCAGAGAAATGCAAATCAAAACAACTCTGAGATACTACCTTA